CAAAAAAATCAAAAATACATTAGTCTTATATTTTTAATCATCATTTTATATTTATGTATAGTTACATGAATGCCAAAAATATTTCATTAAAAATTGTTCAACCATAATAAACCATAATCTTTTTTTAATAATTAAATTTGTTTGTTCTCGTAATTGATAATATAATTTTGATATCCATGTTTTTTCTACCTATTTATAATTTATAAAATTTATTTATTATAAAAAAAAAAAAAAGATCTATTTTTTTATTTACTTCATGACCATCAAAAAATGCAATCTCTTCAGCATTAGCAATAATTCGTGTATGTGCAAAACGAAGTAAACCTCGTCGTCTTGTTTCTTCAGAAACAAGTCTACCAAATTGTGGTGAAAGTTTTCGAAGTATCCAAAATGTCATAAAAACGACTAGACTTGTTAAAATAGGTACTTCTATTTATAAAAAAGAAATAATCGATTAAAAACTTAAATTTTGTTTATCTTTTATTTTGTACCTTTAAGACCTCGTGCATGTTTTTTCTGTTGAATAAGAATTACAAATGTCCATGATATAACAGCAATATCCAAAAATGGTTTTGTTAATTGAGAAAATAAATGTGTTAATAATGATGTAAATGTTTCAATATCATCTGTTAAATTTTGATCTGGTGTAAGTAAACGACCATCTAAATTTGATACACGAAAATAGGTTTGACTCTATTTTAAAATAAATTAATTGAAAAAAAATTAAAGAAATATTATAGATAAAAATAAAATTCTTACACGAAAATATGATTCATAAGCATAACGAGTTAATTTTGAACGAAATGCTAATGCAAGTTTTGATTCAGCATATTTAATTAAACTATTAATAAAACTAGCTGGTATAGCAACTATAAGAAAAATAATAATTGTACGAATAAGTTTATGTGAATTTCTTTGTACTAATGATTTTACAATAGCACCATCAAGACGTGCTATATAAATTGAAAGAAATGTTCGTGTTATAAGTGTAGTTAAATGTGTAATTAATAAAATGAATGAATCACTACGTAAACGTGGAATTAGAATTCGAATAATTACAAGAAGTTGATTAAAAAATCTTTTATGAATTGCAATCAATGATGATGATGAAGAAATATTAGTAATTGATTCTTGTTGTGGCTCAATAAATTTACAATTTTCTTTTAATACAAGATATCGACGATACCGACGAAGAAGATAGATAATTGAAGCAAATGATGATGAGAAAAGTAGAATCTTTGTCCAACGAGAGCGTACTATGTTCATAATGGTTAATAAATACAAATAATAGATGCTTTTTTTTCTTTATTTTGTCATTGTGCGAACTTTTGTTTTGATCACGTACCAGGTGACTCGATGATTGTCGTCTTCTGTTTGTTATTAGTTTGTCAATCAGGTGATTGATTATGTTTTAATGGATACTACGTAACCAACCGTGAATATTATCTATATTCTTTTTGCAAAGATGTCATTCTGAATAATAATATTAAATTAGAAAAAACAAAAATTACCGCCAAAATATTTCACTATTTATATTTATTACTTTTTTATTTTTCTTTATAAACAACGATAAAAACGAAAAGTTTATCTTTATGTCTGTAGAACATTCGCATGATTTAGTTAATATGGAATGTTTTGATGTTACATATACTACTGATATCATCCGAAAAATAGTTGAAGATATTCTTAATAAAAATCAATTTAATTCAGAAAATATTGACAAATGGAGTCGACAGATAGTTGATTCATGTCAAAAATCTTTATCAGAAATCTACAATTCATTTAAAACAATTATTACTACAATGATTATTCCAAAAAATGATGAAAATATTCATATAGGCAATGCTTGTTTATGGGATTATCAAATTGATGGAAGTACAATTATTAAGTAGGTGAATAAAAATTCGCAAAGAAAAAGTTAGACAATTCTTTATTTTAGATGGGAAAACGATTCGATGTAAGACATGGTATAGAAGAAAAAAAAACGTTTTTTTTTCTGATATTACTTTTTTTACAGGTATTGTGTTGTGTCAGCATTTGCATTATCATTATCATCTACTAATTAATTTACCGTCTGAAATTATAGTGTATATGTAGAGTACTAGTTGTGCACATAAAATATATGAAAGTAGATCTAAGCAATTTCTGATTAGTATATTTTATTATATTCTATGAATTTAATAATAAAAATTGGCTTTACTCAATTGAATAGGCTCGACTCATTTTTCGGCTTTATATGAAGGATAGGTAGTCAAAAAAAAGATCAAAATACATTCGAATTCTTGCTTGTTATATATCCTATTTTTTTAAAGTTTGATCCGAAAAGATTATTCTCCAATGAGTTTGTTTCAAAATATCTGCTGAAAAATCGTTGCTCAACATTTTTTCAGTATAATGTGAATTTTTCTTCAATAGTATAAGATCAAGAACTGAAATTTTGATTGCTCATAGAACTTTTTCTTTTACATCTATTAGAAAAATTTGACTGAAACCACTGAATGCTTTATTGAAGAATTATAGAAGAGACAATTTTCAAATCGTTATTCCACAAAATGAGTATAATGGATTTTTTCGTAACAAAGCTACTAAGAGAGAACTTTTTCTCATCAGTTTGTTATTGAAAAAGTTCTCTTTCTTTTGATATAGTCTGCGCACTCACATGTAGAACTAAAATCAATTTTGTCTCATGTTGCACAAAAACATACGAGTATATTTTAAATATTGTACACGTTGAACAAAGGAACTGTGAAGAAATGAAATTTAAATCAGTTATACATTTTGATGGAGTGTCAAATGTTATACAAAAAAGATTAATTACATCATTTTCTTCTTGTTTTTTCATTATAGACGAAAAATTTCCTTTCCTTTATATGATCTGTCATCTAGATAGCAGGTCATTTTCATGTCTTCTTTTACATGTTTGTCAGAGATAATTAGTTTTAAAAGGACTTTACTCTTATACATTATTGAAGAAAAATACATCTCCCTATCTCCTCTTTCGATTGGTGAAAATTGTAGATCTCTAGCTGCTTGCGTTCTCAAGTTATTCAAAAAACAATAGAGGACATTATATTTTGAAATGAACAATAATTAATTACGAAGTCAACATTTTTTTACGTAGAATAGCTTCAAAATTTTAAGTCGTGTTTTAAAACAATTAGTAATCATTTAAAAGGTACGAATATAAGATATTATAAAGAGCAAGCATCAAAATATGCTAATGATAATTGAAAGAAATTTCAACTTGTACAGATTTTTTTCTATATCGCATATTATTATATAATGATTTTTGAATTGGTGATGAAATTTAAAGAGAATTCTATGTTTGAATGGAAAATATTAAGTTAGAATTGCTGTGTCTCAAAACAGAATTTCAAAATCATTGTTTCATATCATTAACTAAGCAATGCATGAGAACTAGTGTACTAAAGCGCATTTGATATCATTTATCAACAATTACCATACAAAGGAAAATCTGAATTCTGATGCGATATCCCAACAAGTTATCATAGTCACAATGTAATACAGTATTTGAACAATAATAGAGTACAATTTGTATATAAAATATGTAGTTTTTGGAACTGGATACGATTACGTCTAATCGACACTTGGTAGCTAGTACTTGCTGATATGATGTACGATGAAAATTAAAAAAGAACGAATATTATTCGAATAAGAAGAACAATTATTAAAAATTCCAAACAAAATACTATAAAAATTGAACAAGTTATGTTTTTAACTATATAGAACTAATATGGAATATTGGAGGAACAATAAAAGACTCTACATAAAAGTTACCATCTTTCACTACTATGTTTTCTAGTCATCAGACAGATTTCGATCACAGGAGTTATTGTGTGTCCAAGAAGATCTGAAATTAGAGCATATGATTTCTTAAGGGCTTCATATAAGTTTTGACTTGACTTGGTTCAGTTGGGTTTCAGAAAAACACGAATCGATTCCATCTCTGCTACGCATTAACAGTAGATTGGGCAACAGCCATGCGTTCAGCTTCGAGTCTCAAATAGGGCCCTTTGTACGTGATAAATGCCAACCCACTAATGAGAAATATGCAAATGATAAATATGGAAGCAGGTGTAAATATGACACCAGACTTATACACAGGAGCTAGTTTGATAAAATAGCCAAGAAGGAAAGTACAACCAGCACCAAGCACATTGCCAACTCACAAGAGTAATCCAGTGGACTATTCGACACGCACTGGATAAGTACATTCCACAGCACACTCAAATGTTATTGGTAAAAGTGGCATCAAGAAGAAGCCAAAGAGAGTAATTGAAACACCCAGTGGATAAAGCATATTTGGTCGAAGAATGGCAATGAAATAGAAGGCCGATGCACAAGTACCCACTACTAATATTTTTAATAACAATCGATAGGCATGCGTACGATCCATGATTACAACTGTTGCACAGGAGCTGATAAGACCTGCTATAAGAAGTGTAGCACCGAACACGCCGGCATTCTCACTCGAGTATTGGCTCGGTTGAATGAGTTGATAGATAAGTGTGCCCATTGAACTGAAAATAGCCAAGCCGAGAGAGAAACCGAACAGCAAAGTAAGATAATGCCTATTGGTGAATAGACGACCTAGATCTTGTTTAACATTGATAGATTGACGATGTTTCTCGGAAGGCGATGGTGGTGACGGAGGCTCCGATCGAAATATGGCTATAACTAAAAGTGTTGTTAATGTGGTGAAAGCAGCTTCAGCTGTCAAGAGAATGAAAAATGAATGAGATGATACGCCATCGGTAACGATAAACGATGGCTCCACCAAGGAGATTGACCATTGAACCAATAGCTGTGACAATATCACGTTGTTGTGGAGCAAACCAGCGAGCAGCGAATAGTGCGATCAAATTCAAAAACAAAGGTGCTGAGATAGCTGGAAAGATTTGACCGAGCATGAGGATCGGATAGCTGTGAGTAGGCGAAATGAGAGTACATACACGAATCCATACACCTAAGTTTAGCAATGCTCCAATAATCATTCCAGTTCACACCGAGAATATTCGATAAGCCTATATTGACAAACCTGTGCCAGGTACATAGAGAAAGAGAAAGACAATGGCTAGAGTATTGACTTCTACCGACGTTATATTGAAAAAGGTGGCTGTCTCCCATTCGATAGGAATAAATGTCGTATTATGCAAAGAATTCGCAAATGTCGCAAGAAAATAGACAAGCAATTGAAGTCATCGAATAAGATACACACGGTATACTGTTGCTTCAGTTTCAGGCATAATATTGTGTGTCTAATGTTGTTGTTCTTCAGTTCTATTTAGCTGTTCTCTATCTTTAACTGATAAACGCGATCGATATCAGACGTGTAGCAAATAGACATAGTGCACTTGTGTAATCTATGCCAGTAACGTCATCTTTTTTGTGCATCTTTTCTTTTCTTATTTTTAATGATATTTTTTCTTAATATTTCACTCTCCCTTACTGAAAGATAAATGTCTTTCGAGTAACGTAAACGATACTTGCTATTCGCCCGAATGATTTCGTAAATTCACGACATATGCAAGTTAATGCGAATACACATTTATTTTCAGACTCAATCCAGATTTACTAGAAAATCACATTTGTCTGTTATCCATTTTTCTGTAAGGCATACCAAAAGTAATGGCAGTGATACTTCAATGCCGTATAGTAAGTTTAAGGAAAATTTCTCTTTCTATGTACTGATAGTATAACCAATGCTCTATATTTCTACAACGTTTTATTATTCTGGAGCTAAAATCATAATAATATAATTTTGATAAGAACTGTTTGTTACGATATGTGACGATCACACTAATGTCCATTTCAAAAAAAAAAAGACATTTGAATATATTTTGAATAACTTTTGATACAAACAAGATGGAGAGCTGCGACTTTGACTGTTGGGAAGAGAAGATGAAGACATATCAAATTATCCGTTATAAGTTTTTCTGTCTTGGTTTTTTAATCAATTTTCTAAAACGAAATGCTACAAAAGATTTTTTTATCAAAAACAAAAAAAAAAGGATTTTTTGATAGGAATTGCTAGAAAAATAGGCTTGGACTTTGTAATAAATTACTTAGAACTTCTAAATGATTAAATTTAAATATCTAAGTCTTACGCAGTTTTCTAGATCTTTTATTGGTGGTTTGAAAATACATTTGATAATTGAAAATTTGCTGTAAACAATTCATGAGATAGATTTATTTTTGACAAGGTTCAATTGAAAAAGCGTAAAAAAACTTATAATATATGATTTGATGCGTCTTCATCTTCTTTTCCCAACGGTGAAAACTGCAACTCTCTATATTGTTTGTATTAAAAATTATTCAAAATATACACATGCGCCTTGTTTTCTGAAATGGGCATTAGTGTTATTGTGACATATATGTACAATCCTTGACATGATGTAGAGACAAACGAATACAACATTATAAATTTAAAATAGATTCTACTTTGTAGCAAATCGAGTTAACAAAAGCTCAAACATTTTCAAATTATTATTTATCGTCGAACGGTTTTATAATTTTCAAGAAAGTAGAATTTCAATCTGATTTTCTAGAAAAATTATTTTCAAACGAATTGAAAAATCAGCAACAACTTTTAAAAAACATTTGAAAATCAATTTTAATTCTACAAAAAAAGCAAAACTCAACATTACTTTTTGGAAAATCATTTATACAAACATGTATTCAATCTTGATTGACTGATGAAAAAGAATCGTTGCACGAGTTGTTTCAATACATAGGCTTTTCTCTTTTGGCTCAATTAGGATTATCTTTTCTTATTTTATTTTACAACAAAGAAAAAGTGGTTACTTAATTTTCTATAAAACATATGACTTTACATTTCTACTATTTTTAACAGAAAAAGTTGATGTATATAGATAACTTTTTATCTTTCGAAAAAGAGAAAAGTTAAAACCTTGTATTATATGTCTTATCATATACGATGACAGCAATATATGATGGTCACATAACTGCAGACCTATAAAGAAAGGATGTACATAGCGTGTAAACAAAAATTGTATAGATTATTTTCAATACTTGACTTAATGATGATGTCTCGAGCAATCTCATTCATTTTTTTTTTATCGATTGACTATTTATTGTGAGAACGAAAATTGTGTTGTAGAAGCAGAATGATATTTACAACAACTGATCCGTGTTCTCTTGTAGCAATAAGTAATTGTAAACCATAGTTATTTACATCGAAGAGAAAGACTTCTTTTCCACTTCTGAAGCACTATTTGTGAGGTGATATAATATGCTAAAAGTTTACTTTGTACTATCAGTTAATGACAGAAATATTTTACACTCACAATTTTACTTTATCATGTTACCACTGGAATTATAACATAATATCTATGTTAATGATGATGAAGCAACTATTTGTATATAAAAGTGATTTCTTTTTGCATTATTATCTTCGACATTTTTTCATACTATTATGTGTAAAATACAAAAAATTTAGAAAATGAGACAAATGATGTTATTGATGCTATTGATTCTATCTATTAATCAATGTTTCAGTCAAATAGGTTTTCTAAAACAATTTCAAGCAACATTGAATATAAGTGGATTATATTCATGGCAAAACATCATCTGAAGGTTATTAACAACTATTGTGTGATTATGAAAATTTAAGAGTTCGTATGGATATTCGTGGATGGCGATCGCAACAAAACGAAACTTACATGATTCAATACAAACCTAAAGGTGCTGAAGCACATTCAGTAAGTAGAAAATAATTCTATTATGAAAAAAAAGATTGACTATGAAGACTTTTTTTTAGCCAGCTTCGCAAGATTATACAATGTTTAATTTCAATCCTGATTATCCAGAACCGACAAAAGTAAATAGACAAATTTTATCATTTTCCATTGTAAATAAGATTTTTTAAGAATGATTGTTGGTACAGAACAGATCCAATGGGTGATATAGGCCCATTTCTGACTAGTTGGTTCTATGATTCACAAGATCATGCTGAAATTTAACCATAGTTTCCATTACCATCAAATCTTATCAATAAAGGTGAAGAATGAATACTAGAAATTCAACAATATGCCATGGTATGTTTTTCTATTTTGATAAGAATCGATAATCTTATGAAGTTCTGCGATACATGAAGCCAAACAAAGATACCCTATTTCAAAGAACTCTTCGGAAAATCATTAGAATTTTTTTTATTGGCCCATTGCTGTTCTAATCAATATATTGAAGTACTTACGAGTACAAATTCAATCACATCTAACTACGAGTAAATAATATGTAATAAAAATTTTTTTCTTATTGTAGAGATATGATTCACCAGACATATGTGATTTAAAACGATCTGGTATTGGCAAAGTTCCATGTTTGAGTTATTTTGAAACACAAGATAGACCTGTTAAAAACCATTCGTGCACGTACTGCTTGCGGCGATTACGATAGTGATGAGTAAGTGTAAATTGAACATTTCTACTGATACAATAAATAATCATATAGCTATATATAGCTATATAAGTACCGTTTATTTATTATTTACACATGGTATTCCATCAGAAGCTGAACATTTATTCGATTTACCTGATCAATGGCCTTCTTATTGTGGCAATGCAAACACAGGTAAACTATAGTTCTCAATTATATTATCTAACCTTATTTATATTGTCATATTTCGATTGATTGTAGGTTTTACTATAGAACCGTATCATGAATTTGTAGGTAACTCTAGAAGGTCAAGATCATTTTACAATAAAATTAAATACATCACCAGTTCATTCACTTGGTGACCAAGTTAAAGTTGAGTTTAAGGTACAACCAAATTGGTATTACAATAGTACACAATGTGCTAAATTTAATACAATTGTTTTCGATAAAGAAAATTGGCAAGAACCACAACAGGTTGACATGTCTTTTGGCGATTACGGTTGTTGCATATACGCAATTACTGCAAACGGTGGTGAATACAATTGGTAATATGCAGTACAAATATTTGTTGTTTATGCATGTGATGGACAAGTTGGATATGGATGCAAAGGCAAAGAACCTTGTGGAGCTTGAAAATATTCAAAAACAAAAAAAAACCATACTTAAGACTCATACATTTGCGAAATAAAGATCGTGTGGGGATGTGGATAAAGGAAAGACAAACACCCACACCCAGGACGGCTATTGTTGCCATTCTCTTCTTCTTGATTCTTTCATTCTACATTATTGAAATATAATTGAACTCACGTTCAACAAAATACAAAACTTACAAAGTTCAATTTCATTTCCATCTAATAAATTTATTTTATTAAAATATTTTTTTGCTAAATAAAAAATAAAACAAGTTATTTTTATCCAAGTGTATTTGTATATGGTTTTCGTTTTTCATTATTTGTTGGATTATCATTTATAGGAATTGTATTTGAAGGTTGAGTTGATTGAAGACAATATCGATAATATTTCATACATTCAGTCAATTGATGACGATGTAAATCACCAGTTGAGTTTCATCGATACATTGAATTATTTCTATCATCAAAATAATTTATTTGACTTGAAGAAAAAGATTTTTTAATGTTTTGCTGAGAATTTTTTTTTGTTTATCCTTGTCTTATTGTTGTTGATGATGTTCGATGTCGATAAGAATTATTTGAAGATGGTAATTTATCGAGTGATGAATGATTATCATTTATGGGTGTGGATATGAGTGAAGAGAAGATCCCACACTCACACCCTAAAATCAAAGTAAATATTTTTCTTGAGTGCACAAGTTTTGTCATCGATTAATTTTTGTCTTTCTTGTTTAATATTTAAATCATTCGTTTCTTTTTTGTTCGATATATAATCTCTTAATGTTTACATTCAATGACGTTTAATATCCGAAATCAGTGTCATTCACAATCGAAATCGTCAGTTTTGATCCTGAAAACAGATGGACACTATTAGAGGTGTCACACTTACTGTTACTTCCGCTTATAAAGCTAACAGAAAGTGTTTTTGTGATCGAAAAACCTCCTATTCAACAGCGATAAACGCTTAGTTTATTCATTGATTATTTGTCATTGCTTGATAATCTTCATCACTTACCACTTACCTGGTAATTGGTAAGTGATTTGTACAAGGGACAAAAAAAACTATTTGATCATTTGCAGCTACACTGTCAGTATCCGGAATTCGGCTATACTTTTGAGATTGGTATTTTTCAGTGATATTGAATTATACAAAAATTTAATCTAAGTTAGTACATATTTTATAAATAGCAGTATGTAGCACCGTAGGAATGCACCATCTACATAAATCTTATATTAAGCATTTACTGATCTATGGCGAGAATGATCACATAAGTTCGAATAGCTTTTTCCCTTTGCACAAACTACTCATAAACTACTAGAATAGTCATGGGAATATGATGCTACTAGTCGCTATTCTTTGTTCTGTGTAAATTTTGAAAGGCAACGTGCTGTTTGAACTTTCAAGTGCAACAAAAAACTATTTTCTACTATAGCGTACGTGCAAAAGCAGAGAGGAGTAGCATGCTCTGAATGCACTTCTTCTCCTTATATGATGTTAGAAATCATTTATTTTATCCAGTTAATACAGCAAGAAAACAGACAGAATAAAAAGAGCGTGTGTGGGTAGATGTGAGTCTGGGTTAGTACTGGTGTGGGATGTGAATGTGTGAATGATTGAAAACCCGGACAACAGCCACACTCCATACCAACACCTACACCCACATTCCATATCCTCTGTGTAGTACTACGTACTGCTTGGTAATAAGTCATAACTGTTTACGAGACATTCAACATTGACATTGTTTAACTACGTCAGTGATAACATTCAAAACTAGATTTTAACCAGTGTTTAGAACAATTAAATTTGTTCAATAGTAACTATACATGAAAACTTACAAAGATGTAGATATTTATTGAATATAACATTAAGAACGATTTCATGGTAAAAAATTTAATTGTATAAAAGGGCAATTTTTCCGATGATACCGTTGTCGAACCCAATGAATATAAGTGAACTTGTACGAAATTAGATAAAAAAAAAACAAGTGGTTGAATTATGATTAAACAGAACAAAACTAATTCTATTAATATAGATAATTCAGACCCTTCATTGCCACTTCATAACCGAGAAAACATGCCTAAGTAAACAAATGAAAAACAAAAATATATTAACAAATAAAATTGTTTTCATTTACCGCATTTGCAGGAAAAGCTCGAATCAAGATAGCTGCAGTGCCTTTATAAAGTGCACCAAATCCTTCTTTTTTTATTAATTCACGAAAAACATCTCGAGCACCATTTGGATATTTATCAGATGGTGCTATAAGATATGAAAAAAAAAACAACATATAATGAAATATTCTCCATTAATTTCTAACATACCACTTTGTAATCTTGATTTTACTACATCAGCTGGCATACCTATAAGCCAACTGAATAATCCAGCTGTACCACCAGCTAAGATTGTTCTCCATGCACTTATATTCTCTTTTCTAAAAATAAAATAATTAACTAAAAGCTTTTTTTTTTTGAACTATTAATTACTTACGAATTTTTTTCGGATCTTAATACTCTCATAAGACCATCATATGTACAAAAGTAAACACCCCATTGAGGTATACCTACATTAATAAATTTAATATAAATTTATAATTATAATTTAAAATATTCTACCTCGAATAATTGTAATTCCTGCACCTCGATATAAATTTTGAATTCCACCTTTTTTATATAATCGTCGAGCACAATCAAATGATCCATTATATTCAGTTGATGAGACATTTTTATTTAATTTAGCTGCTTCTTGAGCCTTTAAAAAATCAATTTTATATAATAATAAAATATTCTTTTTGATAATTACTTGTAATAAACATTTCACTCTTTCAACAGGAGTTAAAGCAATTGTATTAGTAATTCCAGCAACTGAACCAGCCAAAAATAATTGTGGTAAACTAATATAATAAATTATATCAAAAGTTGAAAAAAACAAAATAAAACTTTAATTCACCTATAATCTCCATCGTCTCTCGATGGTGTTTGAATTTTTTTTCCAATACTATTACCAAAAAAAGATAAAGCTGATGTTGGTGTTACTCCTAAAAATTAATTAAATCCATATTTAAAATTATCTTTAATCAAACTTCAATCAATACCTACGAACATAGAACCCACACCTCGATAAAGTGACAAAAAACCCTATAAACAAAAATTGACTATAATTAAGAAAATAACAGAATAAACAAATACCTCATTCTTGACAGACTTTTTCACACAATCAAAAACTCCTGTATATATAGGTTTTTCTCCTTTTTTGGGTCTGGGCATTGTTTGTAAACGAACCTAAATGTCAAACAGAAAAAAAAATTTTTTTTTTCTAATGTGTTCTATATTCATTCATATATAATAGATTATAAAACTAACTTTAATTGTATCTGGAGGATGTCCAATAATAACAAGACAAGCTCCTCCAGCACCACCAGCAAAAAAATTTTTTATCGGATCAATTTTTTTCTTTCCAGACTCAGATTGTTCTGTAGACTTTGTTTTCATTTTTTGATCAGTTGTTGATGAGTTTTTTGACATCTAAGAAAAAAACATAGATGGATTCTATAAACTTGCAGTGAATATAAAAACATTAAAATATAAATAGCATTACTTTGTTTCGAAATACAAATCTCTATAATAAATAGAATAACTACAAATGTGATTTCAAGCAACGTAGAATAAGATTATTAATTTATATTATCTTTAAAATAGTTTCTAAAGATCTATAAAGTGAATATATTTTTATAAAACTTGATTCATTTTCAACGGAACAAGTCTTTTTTCTCCTTCACGTGGACACATGTATACTAATAGCAGAAAAAAAAGTCTAAATACGATCAGAGAACGAGCAAAAGAAAGCAATAAGTGCATATTTTAGAAATAAATATGATGTGATACAGAGAAAGTAATGTTATGTGGTGTATATAAAAAGAACACATGAATAAATATTCGTTGTACTTCTTTACCTTCGCTGTACTATGAAGGTAAAATACGACAAAATTATTTTTTTTTTGTCTTCCCATTTTCGAACTTTAATACCATCTGATTTCATTATTATAATAGCTTATAGCCAGCAAATTCAATGAAGTAACAATTGAATACTTTTAATAAAACAAAAATAAATAACAATTGATAAATGTATCAAATTGTGACTACACAAGTTATTTAAAATAGTACTTCATTTATCGGATACTAATTATGTTTACATATTAAATAAACGTTTGATCATAGTAGAGATTAAATAAAAATCTATAATTTCAAACAGTAATCATATGTCTAATATACGATTATTCTTATTTTAATACATAAAAAAAAAGACTGTCGTAGGGAAGTAAATAATGAATAATATTTGTTTAATGTCCTCCCTAAAAAAAAAAGTCAATTTTCGTCTGAATGATCGAGATTAAGATAAATACATGGGGAGATAACCCGTATTCTGATCTTTCATAATCGACAAATTTTTTTATTCAGCACCTTATTTTTTTCCAAAAACTTTTGAAGATTTTTGTTAGACCTTTTGCCTTTTATTATTATGATTCTTCTTGTCGTTATCGATCCTTCTTCCACATAAAACAACACAATTGAAAATAAAAAAAACAAAAAAGCAACAAAATATGTGTTTCTCCCTTCCTCCTCTTCCATTCTTTACCTCCTCTTTATCTATCGGATAATATGCCGTATAAGCAAAAAAGAACAATGTCACTACCATGAAAGGATAGGAGAGGAGAGGAGACTTTTTATGTCAGGAGATGTCTCTACTAACATAACAATTTTCATCATCCTCTATTCGAAAAATATGCTGTTTTTACAAAAAAAAAACAGAAAGTCTTCTTCATTTTTTCTCAGCTTGTGCTTTCTAGATCGTACAAGCAAGAATTCTCTGTAGACTCTCATTCCATACGTTTAATTTATTTTTGTTTGAAAGAGCATGTCAAGATGCACTGCCTACCAGAGTCCTTTTCTAGTTACCATAGCAAATTCTTCTTCTTCTCGATGCATTAGTCATAATTCAAGTCAGCTACTTGCTCTCAGCTTATGAACATCATTTTCAGCTGAAAAAAGCTTGGCGAAGTCCTGAGAACGTGACGATTGCACATCTGAAATCCGTTTTTCGAAATTCGGTGGTGTTCGGAAATTATAAAAAGTCCCGAAAAAGATAATTAACAGCTGACAGTTTTCTTATATGGTCATACATGATTCAGTCCTGAAATGACCATTGATATTTCAGATCTTATGTGCATATATACTTCAATTATCGTCTTGCATGACTTAAATTCATTCATGCAGGAGTCTCAAACGTTTAGAGAATTTCCTCTATATCAGTCGAAGTTTTAGAAATAGTAGATATCGTATAGAATCATATTCCAATATTTTTCAGGCTCTGCAGTTAGCTGACTTTGGGCCAGGTAGGAGGTCTAGCTATGCTTTGTTTTTATTATGTATACAAACACTTATGTAAATAGTGCACCAGTTTTAGAAAGTTTTTGAGTCATTGAAATTGTGATCTTTAGAAAAAACAAATTAAATAGATAGAATAAGCCTGGACAAAGAAATTTGATTTGTCAGATGAACTATTTTTGACCCTTGTTTGGCAAATATCTCTGTCAAATGTTATGATATAGAGTTGAAAATTTCATGCCATTTGAACGTATCTAGGTTGAGATCGATTTTTGAGGAGAGAAGGCTTAAGTCATTCGTGCAACAAGTTGACATTGATTTTGGTCAGGATTCGTAAGACTTGCTAGACGAATTTGATCATAATCAATATAATTGATTTGATGATAAACTTGAAATCCTTGTTGTTTAAAACAATTCAATGAATAAATATTTGTTGTTTCAGCATAAATTCCTTTAATATTAATCTTTTTTGCATATTCTATAGTAGTTGATATTAATTGTGAACCAAGTCCATAACCACGATAATTCTTCTTAATATTAATTATAAATATATGAAGAAGAGAATTTATTTTAAATTGATTAAAAAGATTTATATTTAAATGCATATTATTTAAAAAATTAAGAATAAAATAAATTTTTTCATTTGTTTCATTAATAATATATTTATTATCTTGAAATTTGATTTCATTAAGACAAATTCCAATTAATTGTTTTGTTTGAATATCATATACAACAAATGAACATTGATCATGTAATGCATTATTAATAATACTTTTAGCAAAATCAATTGGTTCTTCTAATTGAAGACATTTAGCTAAAGGTTCATCTTGAAAAAATGAATTTATTAATAAAGATAATACTTCATTACGATTTTTTTCACGCATTAACTGGATACTAAATCTAGATGCAGACGACATTTTTTAATGATTCTAATGATTACTCAATGAGAGGAAAATAGCATTTTTCTTTCTTCTTTGAGTATTTATCAAACACAATAACTTTGTTAGTACTTAGTTCTATGAAATGAACGTCATCCTATGGCATGAAGTTATTAAATCTGATTGAGATCAAACAAATTTCCGGTACCATAACTTCATTTAAAAATGTTGGTTTAAGTCAAAACTAAGAATGATTGTAAAATACTATATGATGATAAGAAGGATTACAATTCTTTGATTAATGTGTGATTGTCGACAACTATGTCAATATCACGTTTTCATACTATTTTATTTTGATAGGAAAACTAACACATTTTTTTTTTTGTTTTTTCCGTTACAATCTTAGTCATGAATATTCACAAGACAATATAATTCTCATGTCGACAGAAATGATTGTTGTTGTTTTTTTTTACATAAAATATCTTAATGAAGTTTTCGTTTCTTCAAAACAATTTTTAATCTATTCAAATGAGTCAGTAATCACAAATTTTTATTGAATATTCAAAATAGTAACATGTATACCATGAAATAATTGAATGATAAAGAATATTTACATGAATTATCAAGTTCAATTTTTTTCCATTATAAGATATTAAATATAGCGAATCAAAAGAAAAAAAAACTTTGTTTTTCAACAGTTTTATTCTTTAGAAAATCTCGTTCAGGTGGTTTGAAGAAATCATTTAACAACTCATAAACTTGTATTATTAGTATAAGCAGGTCTTGACGATACTAAAACCAAATTGAATGATCTCTATAAGTCATTTTTCTAGAGTTCTACTCTGTAACAATGTAAAATCAAGTTACTGAATTTCAACTTAAAATTTACCCTACTAATAGTTTTATAGTATCTAGACTATAAAATTTATTTGAGTTAGTCTTACGGAAAGAAAAAGAAACATTCAAAATACCGAGAATGTAATTCATTTTGGGCTATTTGTTAGATATCTTATATTTAATGGTATGACAACGTAATAAAAAGATTCAAAGATGAAGAATCTGACTGTCAAATCGGATAGTATTCTGAGCAATTCGACGATTTATTACTATAAACTTGTTATTTTTATTCTCTGTTAGTTCACTCGATGTTCAGAACAGATCAAATTTAATATTTTGATTTTCTTAGCTAACTGTTAAGGTAATAGATTTATAGAAGATCGTGCTTTAGCTTCTGACACAATTATCATCAAATATTTGGATCGAGCTTTTATTCTCTTCTTTAATTATTGCTCTTTTGGACTGATATATAACTGTAGTCATACACGACGGACTGGCTCCACTTTATATATACGACTGTCAGTGTACAGTTCAGTTTATTTGTATGTCAGTACAGGTCAGCATAAGTTGAATTACAAGTTATTCAAAATCCATCAACTATCCACACAAAGCAACATCTATCTAATTAAGCAGGTAGGAAGTTTATCAGGTATATAGAATAGCAAAAGACGACCTATACTTACCTTGATACACCTGTACAGGTAAAACTATGCTAAATGACAATTTAAATCAATTTAAAATACCTTTTGCAAGAAAATTTTAAGTAACTTTATGACAACTTTCTCAGACTATAGAATCTTAGTGTCATAAATCTGTACTGATAAAGAATATCCTTGAAACCTTTCATTTCCTCATTTCGACAGTAACCAATGCCGACCATATCTGTTTGTCTTTTCAAAGATGTCTTTAATGACTATTATCTTTAGTAGTTTAAACTAAAGATAAGTGAAACGATTTGTCACTCTCTATTTTCGAGTGGCTGCACACTATTCCCTTCGCTATATTCGTGTGTTCACACACTGACTTTGTGACTACCCGTTATTATTCTATTTCGTGACTGTTTCATCTTTTTTTGATGTTTGCTCATTGACTTTGCGACTACCCATCATTGTTCTACTTCGTGACTGTTTCATCTTTTTTCGATGTTCGCTCATGCGTGATTGCTCTCTCTCTCATACTGCTTTATAAGATTTGTGAATTCTCGTTTCGTCGAAAAAAATTTTTGTAACGTTCTCGTTTCATCGAAAAGTAAAATTGCAAGAAAAGATGAAGAATATAAGTAGCTTATTCTAATTGCTTTCGTTCTCTTGAATAGACTATGAAACATCAAAGAAACAAATTAAACTCTACCGTTAAATCATTCAACCTACGATCCAATACCACTACGAAAAATTTATTTGTAAATCGAAATCCTTGATCAAAATATTTAGCTAGTGGTTATAAACAACAAACCTTAATGGTGGAAAAATAGGAGTTACGATGAGAATGTGTGATTGTTCCAGTATATCTGACGATGTGGGTGATAGCTTTCTCATTGCCTACTCACACATTCAACACCATTAACATTTCAACATTTTCACAACTCGGTGTTTGTAAATGTCAGCATTTTTCCCTCTCAATATTAGTGAGGTGACTCCATTAGCTGTGTAATTTTTGTAATGCTCTTAATAAATGTTTTTAAGATTCATCCAGAATCATTTTATTGAATTAGTCTATTAAAGAAAATGAAATGATTATGAATAAGCTAAGCATATTCTGCATATTTTCATTCAAATTTTAATTACCGACAAAATGAGAACTAACCCAAAATAGAATATCATTTGTTACTAAAAGTGCCTTCTGTCCTTTGAATTTTTTTACTCGCACAATCTGTTTCATTTGATCTTTATGAGAATAAAAAATTCAAAGGTGAAAAGCCGCTCTTATCAACAAATGACACACACTGGTTCCTATTTGTATTAGCTAGAAGCTTATAAGTGAAATGGAAATAATATTCATTGAAATAAAGCATTTAATCTGTTACTTTTCGGAGTATACATACATGCAATCAGAAGCAAAAACTTATTGTTTATATAATATTTGTTTAACTTCAATACAAAATGATGTCATCTATTGTTTCAAGTAAACGTAATAAATCTAACTTTATTACTTGATAATTATCGTTCACGACGAAAAACAAAAACTTATTCATTAATCGAAATACACGATTACATTGTTTTAGAAAATCATTATTAAACAACAAAAAAATTAAAATTAGAAGGATATCTTGAAAAAGTTATCCAAGATCGATGATTCCGACCTCCGGAATACTGCCACCATGTTCCGGTGTTTTCCTGTCGGAACCGACTCGTACTTCTTGACCTGGGATGCGATTAATTCATATGAAAAAGTATTGATTTCTTTTTTTGTTTTTCTACACATGCTTTCTTCTCTAATAAATTTTTTGAAAAAAATTATTCAGATTTATCAAAACATTTCATGGCAAAAGTGTCGTATCCTTTGATTTACTATAGGATATTTCAAAAAACTTTTAATGTTATTGACTTTTAAGGTTGATATATTTAGGATAATCTAACATATTTTGTACATTCTGAATAAGAATTTTCCCTAGACTGAAAGACTAGGGTCTAGAAACGGGAATTGATCTGTCTGCACGTATCAATTTTGTCGGTAACATGGCACAAGTGACCATGTTTTGGCACAAATGACCAGGTAACTGTAGTGAAAAAAAATAATAATGAAACTACGGTAATAATCAGCAGGTAACTACAGTAAAGATGAGCATATTATTCTGATACTATTGATTATTTTGATGCTGCGTAAATAAAAAAATGATACATAGATAATATTCAATAACAATATACAATTAACTTAAATAAAAAAAAGTCACATATTTACAAATAGTAGAACGATCACAACATTTGACATATAGTCTCTACAATAACAAGCGAAGCTGTATTTGTGATATTCTTTGCATGAACGAAAGTACATCATACTGTCAACCATTTTTTTATGTAAAAGAAAGTGATCTATTATATTAAAGATGAAATAATTCCATACAACAATCATTGTGATGTATATTTTATCTATAAGTAATATTAATCAACTGTCGTTTATATCTAAATACAATCATATCCGCATGTAGATTAGGACAGTCTAGTGCCAAGTGAATCGAATTTCGATGAACGTTACTTGTTTTCCAATGAAAAAATATCGTTATCAAAGATTAATCAATTAATCATGAATTGCATTAAGTCATTTCAAATTTCGTAAGATTTGAACTTTTAAGATTAACAAAAACAATATACTTGCAAATTGACGCTGAAAATAAAAAATATGTTTGTTTGGTGAGATTTCTTTAATTCTTTTAGCTTGTTAAGAATTATAGCAACGTGTGAATTATTTTTTGTGTAACGGATATGTGTATGTTGATATTTTTTTTCTTTTCTTTAACGAAGAAAATTCCATCCGCCGAAATTGAGACAGTAATAAGAGGAAGAAAAAAATATAAGATGCACACAGATGTTTCTTTATTTTTTTTATCTATTGAATTATAATATATATGAGCAGAAATGAAGAGTCATTCATTTCACTTTCTTTTACTTGTTATGACCATCTATTTCTAGTTATTTTATTTAATTCTCGTCAATAAATATTCAAAGATTCTGGCACATCAATGACTAAGGAAGAATCACCCATTTTTCAAGATATACTTTTTAATTCAACAGCTATGACATTTGATAATAATGAAGATAGTCTACTTCCTATTGATTTTACTGATATTGATAGTAAGTTTTATTTAAATTTTACATATATATATATTAACAGACAAAAGTTTAGAACAGTTGTATTTTTGAGCTTTTTTTCTCGATGGTAATAGCTAGAAAAAAATCTGAAAAAATTTTCGAATAGCTGGAAGGATTCTCTATCGGGACTGGTATACCCTAAAAATTCCAATAAAACTGCTTAGATGAGGATGTCTGGAAAACTAAGGTCTCTCCTAAATCAGTTTTCTGCCTTCCATTTGAAGTTTTTTGATAATGATTTTATTCGATAAAGATATCTTGGCTCTCTCTATGGCATTTCTTCATGGAATTTAATTTAATTTACACAAGATCCAAGAAACATTTTTTGTAGAGAATGGTTTACTCTATCGTTCTATCTAGTCTATACAAAAGCACCTCGACACACTCTAGGTATTGAAAAACTAGGAATTTTGTTTTTTTTGGGGTCTCTATATTGGAAACAATTCTCTCTATTCGAATCACTATTTGTTGTATAAGTTTATATCATTTTAGTTACATTTGATTCTGATCAATTGTGGTCATCACTTGATATATGTTCTTTGAATGATTTAAAAGAAGACGACGAAGAAGAAAAAACATGTATTGATCAATTTTTATTAAATTCGAAGTTTGATCTTCCACAAAGTAAGTAATATTATTATAGTTCTTTGATCTCAAAATCCGGTTGAGATCTTGATTTTCCTTTTTTCAGTTTTGATGTTTTTTGCTCTTTTCTTTTTTTTTTTTTATATACAATAAAAAATATTTATTATGTTTTATGCCTATAATCGTGCGGAGACTATAACCCACTACAATTAATGCTATTTTCAAAAAAGTTTTGCTCCCATTTCATTGACACTTCTTATTCAGTTTTTTTTCATTTCATGGAGTGTTATTCATATTGTTATCAAGTTGTTTCATCGTAAGCGTGTCGTTTCTTTAATCCATCAATCACTACATATAAATTTGGATTGGTCATGTCAATTAAGTCGATGATGTCTATCCTCCAATCCGAATGTGTATGCGAGAAAATAGAGAAACTCAATATCTACACCTATATCGGCTAATTCAAAGTGTTTTTCTCACCTTTCTATTGATGATCATACATGTAATGCTTGAAACTTGAATTCAAATATTCAACTATTCAAATTTTAATTTCTCAAGTGTTCTGTGAATATTCAGCGGGGAAGCGCGTTTCCCACCTAAGAAACCTTTTATTTCAGCGTCGCGGCGTGGGGGTACGAAGCGGCCCCCGAAGAGCCGCGACCCATGAACGTCTCTGTGTACACCATTATTCCTACTAAGTGCTGCACATTAGCTGAAGCTTCTCAGAATACTTCTTGTAGCATCCCAGATAATGTCTACAGCATATCAACCCAAAACTGTAGTATCCTAGGAAATGCTTTTAGCATTCTAGGTGATACTTGTAGTATCATAGGGAATACTTGTAGCATCCTATGGAATGCTTGTAGCATCATAGGGGATGCTTGTAGTCTTGCAGATAATACCTGTCGATATTAGATGATTCTAGTGGCATTCCAGCCGTTAACTAATTGAGTACTTGAACAGTTGAATAGTTGAATAGGTAAATAATTGAATACTTGAACAGTTGAATAGTTGAATAGGTAAATAATTGAATACTTGAACAGTTGAACTAATAGTTGAATACTTGAATTCAACTTTCAAGTTTGACACTACTGACCGGGTACGAATCCACAAAAACGTGGACCTGCAACTCCTCAATGATGACTATCAGGTGAGATGATGGTTAGAAAAACGTTGGAAACAGCACTCCTGAATTTAGCAAGTCGAGTACTTGATGAATATCTATATATAAATTCATTTTTATCTATGTCGCGTATATAAATTTCAAAAAACTTATGTTACACTTTTTTGCACATATTCAATGAATTTATTTAGTTACTTCTGTTCCATCGTCGACTTTACCAATCTATGCTAATCAACAACAAAATATTGTTTCACATAATTCCGTAAATTTATTACAATTCTCTTTTCCTATGTTAATATAAATATTTATATTTAATTTAGTCATCAACGAATTTACAATATCATCATGATATTTTCCTTTCATTTATTAATCCACCAGAACCTATTTATCATGTACGTTACTTAAGTGAAATTACAAGTTTATCAATCGATGAAAATTTAGTCAATACAAAAAAACTAAGTAAACAACATCAATCAGGACGATATATCAAAGGAATACATGGTCGATATGTGACAATTGCAGTAAGTGTCAAGAACAACATCAAAAAAAATAATTAACATTAATATATTTTGTCTTCTTCAATTTAGCTTCCAACAATTCTATCTGATAATTCTAATCTTTTCATACGTGTTACACGTCTTACTGTGCCTTATCAAGATATATCATATATTCATCCATATCCACTTCTATATTCATGTGCAAAGAAAAAAATACATTCTGATATTATTATTCAAGATTCATCAATCTATTTTAAAATAAACAAAGATGAGATTTGTTCTCGTTCAAAACGGTATGTTGTCAAAATAATTATATATGAATTAAAAATATATATATATCGCATTCTTTTAGCTTTCCTCATATAATTCTTACACGTCTTAAGCAATGTCATCTTAAACACATTAACATTTTATATTCGTTTGGTATGATAATAAGTTAAATGTTTTTTTTTTTAAAAATTCAATTTATCATTTTTTTGTTTTATAGATAATAATGAAATGTCTTATCCATTCATTGGAAATAATGTTAAAAATAAAATTGCACATTATCAATTAAAAAAATCTCAACTTGATTTTCGTTTAGTAATTAAATGTGAACAAACAGGTAAATTTTTTAATACAAATATTTTTTGTCGATCAAATTCATTACTTGAAGGTATTATAAAAATTTTTGCTTTTTGTTTTAATCATTTCTTAATTTTCTTTTTGTTTTTTTTTTTTAGAAGAAGGTGTTGAATTGAAAAAATCATTAGCATAACAAAATTAAATTTCTTCTAGTTTTTCTTTCAACTTTGTAAAAATATAATAAGCAATTCATATGTTATTATCTTTGATGTTTACTTGTAAATAAAATGAATGTCACATGTGATTTCTCTTAGTTTGTGTTTTGATTGGGAATTTAATAAATTGTGAAAAAAACAAAAATGTCGAATGAACCAATAGAGAATCTAATTGACAGCAATTTTGAATGTGATTGATGAGCCAATCATTGATTAAGAAAATAAACAAAATTTCTATGTTGAATATTCACCATTTTGAACAATTTACATGCTTCATTTTCATATCTAGAATAAATCAGAATGTAGATGTTTCCGATGAACATCTTGTTTTGTTTTTTCGTTCTACGATAGATATTGGTCATTTAACATTGTCTGGTGGTTCATTGAGAAAAGCAATAAATCTAAATCCTGTGAATTGACAACGTGTGAATTTCTTTTCATGGTTATGTTGTTAAGTATCAGATAAATATTGAAATCTTGTAGGGATAAAAGAAATTAAAATAGCTATATAGAGAAGATGAGAATTAATATAAATTTTCTCAACATTAAAAAACTGAATTGAAGGAGATTTCAAGTTTATCTTAGTAATGGGATTGATAATCATGACATGTCATTAAAGCAGAATATAATATGTCTGTGTTTTCTTATGACTTGTTATTAGTGCTCTGTAATCGAGTATGATCTCATATGCAATTCCGACATGATAATTCATGAGATCTCGATGTTTCGAAATAGTTTTACTTTTTCAAACTGCTAATTTATATAAAATCATAAGAGTGAAAATTTGAGCAATTTATTTTGTACTTGAGAATAAGTCACAGAAATGAAAAATGATATTGTTGTACTAAAAGAATTCGTTTTTAATGGAAATTTATCTACTGATGATGAACCATATAACGGAGTAGTTGAATGCATAGAGAGAAAAAAGAATTATCGAAAAGTTCTATTTCAATGTCATCAGCAACAAGCAGACATATACTTATTGGTAATTGGTTTTTTGATCAGCAATCGATTGTCTGTGTGATGACAATAGTACGAACAAATGTGTAACATGAGTAATTACCTGAATGCGATGTCATATGTCAGAGAGATACGATCTTATGCTTCGAAAATCGTCTTCCAATGTGAATTGAAAAATCTAGAAGAACGAAGTCTTACTTAGTCCAACGGCGTACGTAGAGAGGGATTACAAAGCAGTGATCGGCATGTCTTTGTGAATAATTTTTCATTCATTTCGTCCATTCCGATAGATCGTCATCTTCTCGTTGATTTCCTGGATCTGTTAGCGTCCTAGCTTAATTTTCTTTTTATATAAATGTACTCAACAGCATCTACAGATTTATCTCAAAAGAATTGTAATATAAACAGAAAATAAAGTCCTCGTCCCCTCCTTAAAAACAGTCAATTTTCGTTCGAATTATTGAAATTAAGATAAGTGCATAGGAGAATATTTCAAGATTTGACCTTTCATAAATGACACGATTCTTTTTTATTCGGCACTTCCTTTTTTCCGTGAAAATTTTGATGATTTCCGTCATTATCTTTTTGAAAAATATGCGCTGCTATCAGAAATGGTTTGGCATTTGTTTTCATTTTTTTTTCTATGTTTATGCTTTTCAGAATCTTTTGAAGGAACTTTATTGTAGCCAATTACTTGTTTTTTTTTTGTTGGAAAGAGCATGACAAGGTCTCTTTCTCCATTTGAAATGATAGAAAGGTAGAACTTTCAGAGTAGATACTATTCAATGAGGGGATCATTTCATTAAGCGCAAACTTTTTTGTCCAACATTTTTCTTCACATCGAAAAGTTTCTCATAAAAATCAGCTTTTTCGAGTTTTAGGAAGCTAAATTTCTACAACAAGGAACAAGATTTAGTTGATGATTGGAAGATTTTCACTTTTTTATAAATTTTATATTTGAGATTTCCTTGATATAGGCTATAAGAAAAGTATGTTTACTTCAATGGCCAATTTCTATGAAAATCTGTCGAGCCAATGTTGAAATATCATTTTTTTTGTTAATTTGGTTTGAGTAGACTATGAATATGTACTGCTCTCCTCACCGGAATCTTTAATTTTTTCATCAGAGAACCCTAAAGTTAATTAAAAAAAAAGTGAACATCCTTCCTGATTCTAACGCATACAAAATCATCAATTAAATCTTGTTCCTTATCAGAGAAATTTAGCTTCCAAAAATTCGAAAAAGCTGAGTTTTCTCAGAAGTTTTTCGATGCGAAGAAAATGTTGGACAAAAAAGTATCCGCCTAGTCAAATGATCGCCTCATTGAATAGTATTTACTCTGAAAGTTTCATTCGATTCGAATGAAGTCAATGTAATTGTCGTGCACTTTCAAAAGAATTACTCCACTATTGTACTCCTATCCTTCACATAGAGTACAATTGTACACCATTTTCACTTGATCATGATGTGGTTTTTCTTTGCATTTGTAAGATATCAGTATGAGAATAGTCAATTGATTTATAATGTACGAAATACTTTGTTTGTAAAATTACAGAGTTAAGAATATCATATAGAGAATTTTGGATTGTCAAATGAGCTATTTTTGACTCTTGTTTATTGAATATCTTTCGAAAATATCATGCGATATATCTAACCCAACATATTTTTTTTTAAGGAATGAAACTTTAAAATATTCAATGGCATATACCCTTCTAGCGACATCTTTCGATTGTCTAATAATTCTAATATGAAAAATTTTTAAATAATTTATTAATATTTGAAATAAAATATTTTATAAATTATCTTTAAAAACAATTTTTTTCTTTAAATTAATATTGTATTTTTAACTTTAAAACTCTCTCAAGACGTATAAGAGAGTCCAATGGTAATCGTTTGTTTGTTATTTATTCTATTTTAAATTCTATTTTAATATCAATCATTTATATATCTAAATCTTTTATAGATATTAAACATTCTAATATACGAACATTTCATCTCTAATAATGTCTCGACGTGTTCGTACAACAACGACAACAACAACATCTGGTAAATCTTCATCTAAATCAAAGAAAATTTCTATTTCAAAACGAAAAATTACACATAATGTTATAAAAAAGAAAATATCAGTAAAAAAATCTTCATCAACAAAACGTTATCTTGAACAAACATCATCAATTATACAACCAAAACAAAAACGTCTTTCAAGTTTAACAGCAACAACACTTCTTCAATATTGTACAAGTATTCTTTCACCAACAAGAAAATTAAATCATTCAATAAAATCAACATCAATTCTATCAAATAATTCAAAAACAAAAAAAATAAATATTCAAACAAATAAAAGAAAACGTCAAATTTCAAATGTTTCAACAAAATCTGATAATATTAAACTTACACAAATAGATTTACATAAACCTACTCGTATTCATCGTGAAGCAAGTTCACGTGCATCTGCTATGATTATGCAACAAAATGAAATTGAACGTAGTCGTTATAATTATTCACGAAATAATAAATATTCAACATCAATTATTCGTCGACATCGTACAAATAAAATTGATATTCAATCTAAACAACCTTCTATTAAATCAAATAAATCTAATATTCCATCATTTCCTATTCCTACATCATCTATAATTAATATACCAATTCAAACTGAATATTCTCAATCATCAAATATTATAATAAATAATTCTATACAATCTTCATTATCAACTAATACAAAATATCCATTATTAACTGAAGCTATTTTAGCTGAACATAATCGTTTATATGAAACAATATCTTCAAAACGTGATAATCTTATTAAATGGACACAAGAAGTAGATTTATATGATCGTGTATCATCATCATCACCACCACCACCACCATACTCTCAACATGAAATTTCTCATGAATCATCATCAATAAATAATAAATCTACAGGTTTAATATTATATTTTTAAATAGAAAAAAAAAAAAATTATATTAAATATGATTTTTTGTTTTTTAAGCATTATTAATTAATGATTCAAAACCAATTGATGCTATGACTTCGAATACAATATCACATTCATTTGAACATTTATCAACAAGAAATAATCCTACTTTTCTTTTTCCATCAACTACATATTCTCTTAATAATTTACATTCATTTTATCCTATTTTACCTTGTTGGCAATATTCAAGTAAGCTATAGGACTAATTTATATATATTATTTGTCTATTTGTTGTTTATATTTTTCTATATACATATTTATTTGTTAAATTTTTCTTGTATTATTAAAAGAACAAGATGAGTTTTATAAATAGTAATCCGATAAGATATATATATATTAGAAAAAATATGAATATTAGTATATCTATCAAATATATGCTTTCCCTTTTCCATTACCATATTATTCAATTATTGTAGATAGAAAAGAATATTTTAATTGCGACTGAAAAATCAGCTATTGGTATGTAAGAACGTTGAATAGATCTTCACAACACAGTCACATACTTATTCTATATGCTTTCTTTTATTTCCGTTCTATTTTTTGTTTTTCGTTTTATATATTGTACTATAAAATATATGATTTTAAAGAGAAATTTAATGATTTATCTTCTTATGCTTAATTCTATTTAAATTATAATTTTCATTTGTTATTGTGTTTTAATTTTTTGCATATTTTTAGCTTGGCCATTTCAATCATCAATATCTTTACATAATCAAATTCAACCATTATCAATTAATCAGAAAACATCTAAAATATATTCGGAAAATAAAACTAAAAAATTATCAATATTGAATTCAAAACAAAAACAAGAAAATTTATCATTATCAAAAAATGATAGATTAACATTTCATTTACATACACATCATCATCATCATATACATAATAATAATAATACAAATTCATTATCATTACAAAAATCTTCTAGTTTAATTAATAATAATAATAATCTTATTGAAAAAGAATCTAAACATACATCAACAATAATTGAAAATAATGTCTTAAATCTTTCAATAAATAATAAAACAAATTTAAATCAATTAAATGGAACAATAAAAACAACGACGCAAAGAAAATCTTCTCCAATTAAAAGACGTATTAATAGTGAAACAAAATCTAATAGGTAAAAAGAACACGAACATCTCTTATTCACTACGCTTTTTTTTGAGAGTTATGATCGTTTAGAACTAAATACAATTCTTCGCGCTATGGACATTTTGTAATAAAATGAAAGCGATATATTTTTTGCGATTCGAATAATATGCAAAAAATTATTCTAATTCGAAGATCGTCGTAGGTCCAACAAATGGCCATGCTTCGATCATTTAAGATAAAAGTATATTTTTCCAAAGAGAGATTTGCAAAATATATCATAGGGTTTAAAAGTTCTTTAGCGTTTTTTTGTCTCAGAAATACTTTAAAAGAAAAATAAGGACATATTTAGCATCAGTACGAAAAATTACATTGAATGATGTTACATTTATTAATTTTTAACCATGTCGACATGCTCGATAGAAATTGCCGATAAGTAGACCTTGATGTCAATAGTCAAAACTTAAAAGAATTCGTGTCCAACTTATGATCATGGCACTGGATTTGCGATTCATGGAAAAATCAAACGATTGTATTTTGACTTGAAATTTTGTCCATAAAGAAGCCTCATGGTTTCAGCCAAAAATGGATGCTTTATTCTTGAGATATTGAATTTTCAAAATTGTTCAATTTTCTGACTTTTCTGTATCATTTTTTAGCTATCCAATAACTCAAGGATAAAGTATCCGTTTTGATTGAAACCACGAGGCTTCTTTATGAACAAAATTTCAGGTCAAAATACAATCGTTTGGTTTTTCCATGAAACGCAAATTCAGTGCCATGGTCATTAGTCGGCTTCAACAGTCTATAGGCACGAATTCTTTTAAGTTTTCGATATTGATTTTGAAATTATCAGACGTTCTTGTATGTTTTATCTTTTGATGTCAATATTGAACATTCTGTTTGGCAAAATTTAGATTTAGATTTTAGGATAGAAAATACTAGAAATTCTGACATTTTCATTAACAAAAAAAAAGTATGGTAATGAGTTTGAACTTGAAAGTTGATTTCGAAAATAATCATAACTCAAGAAGAAAGATCCATAGACACGAACACTTTTTTTTTTGAAAACCGCCGCGATGGACATCTCTGATAGAAAGTTAAAATACCAAAGTTTTATATCCAGATGTTTTGTTACTTGAAAGACATTTGAAGATGAATAACTAATGTAATTCTCTATAAAATGCGATATTTCACAGACAAAGTATGAGAGAAAGGTTTCTGAAAAACCAAACACAGTAGTTTTTAAGTCATAGAAGAGTTCAAAATCCTGGATAAAATGAGAGATTGCTGAATTTTTCACAATCTTCTCTTAAAAAGTTAGAAGCATCACAAACAAAAATTTATCACAGCATTGCTAAAAAATATTTTTTTTTAAGATAATCTGAAAACTACTATGTTTACTTCTTCAGAAACTTTCCTCTCTATTAAATTCCATTTGATGACAAGAACTTCATAGTCTATTTAAACTACTCTCTGGATTCTTAAAGTAGTTCACATAGATCTTTTCATGTAATGACAATAAATTCTAAGAAAAAATATTTTGAAAATTATTTATTTCAGTTCATCAATTCTATCAATCGATGAGAAAATTTCACAAATAAATAATTCCATAATAATATCACCAAGAAAAACAATAAATAATAATCAATCAAGAATTATTTTATCAACATCAAATAATTTGGATAATAAAAAATCTTTGAAATATATACCTAAACGTCGAACTATTTCAGCAACTACGGCAAATTCTATTCGAACTATATCAATAATAGATAAAAATTTACGTAAAAAACGTACAAATTCAGCATCAAATATATCTTTACAATCAACATTATCAAATAAAAATTCTCATCAAAGAAAAAAACAAAAAAAAATTTCAAATTATTGGATTTTATTTGGAAAATCTGAAAAAAAACTTGTTTCAATTCATGTAAGTTAATTATCTCTTTTTATTTTCTCAAAAAAAAAAAAAAAAAAAAATTTATTTTTGCAAAATTTTAAAGTCTGATAAACCACCTGTTATTCGTGAATGTTATTCATCAATTCAACATGTCATAGAAAAAGATATAATTAATTCATATGATTGTGTTATATTACGTTCTGAAACTGATACAGATAATAATAATACTACATCATATTTAGCTAAAGTTAAATGGTTTTGGAAAGAACCAACAACAAGTAAATGAATATTATTATTCATAATTTATTGATTAAAATCTTCCTTTTTTTTTGTTTTTTAGATGAAATTCAAATGTCACTTATTTGGTATTATCATCCTGAACATACAGAATTACCAGCACATATTAAAGAACATTTTTTACCAAATGAACTTTTAGCTTCAAGATATTCTGATTGTATTAATGTTGCTTGTATTGAAGATAAATGTTATGTACTTAATTTAAATGAATATAATCGGTAAGTATATTTCTTTCTATAATAGAAGAAAAATGTAATATGATGTTTACCAATATTGAATATTTGATCTTAATAAAATTCCATTTTTATTACTTCTATTCAAGTTCTATAAGGTTTTCTTTTTCCTTATATAGTTATTATCTTCGTGAAAAATCGACGAATTTCTTTGAACATTCTAAATCAGTCGGACAATTGAAGTCACTATTAAATAGAAATACTTCAATTGTTCGTCATCGATCATTACCGGCAACGACTGTTGGTAATCAAAATATATTTTTTTGTCGTTATGTATATGATTATCGAATTAAACGAATTTTAAAAAATCCAAGTTTAAATAATTCTCCAATGATAACAACAACAACATCAAGCATATGAATCTCTTTTATTTATTTTTTTTGTTTTAACAATTCTTGTAAATACAATTATAACATAATGATTTTGTTAATTTTCTGAATTCAATAGAAATGAAATAACAGATATCATTGTTTATTTACTCTAGACAATAAAATATATTTAGCTAAAGTATGTGTGTGATATTCTCAAATTTTTGTCTTCGGTTAAACTTGATCTTAGAAATGATTATTGTTAATATTCTTTTTTTTTGTTACGAACAAAAAAAAAAACCAACGATTTGAATGTATATATATTTTTTTTTTGGTTTGTAAGTTGTCTCTACTACTTCTCATTTTGTGTGTGTGTGTGTGTATATATTTTAAAAAACAAAAAAATATTTTAATTCTGAAAAATTTGTTTTCGTTCTTAATGTAAAATATTGTTATTTCTAGATATATTTAATAAATAAATAACTATGTCAGCCAAAAGAGGTCGTGGTGGTGTCGGAGGTGGTAAATTTCGTATTTCACTTGGTTTACCAGTCGGTGCAGTTATTAATTGTGCTGATAATACAGGTGCAAAAAATTTATTTGTTATTTCAGTTAAAGGTTTTGGTGCACGACTCAATCGTTTACCAGCTGCTTGTGTTGGTGATATGATTATTTGTAAGTTTAACAATTGAATATATATATATATTTTCATGTGATTCAAAATGGACAAGGAAATCGTTCGGTAGTGTTTGATACCTTTGAAAAAGTTGTCTATTCTCTGATCACGGTGATATATCCATAGTTGTTCAGTGTATACGATCACAGACTGTAAATTAATGACGTCTCGTTATAATATGTGAACTACTTTCTTATTGTACTTAGAACATACTAAAAGTTCTGGCCACGGCATTTAAAGAATCTTTTCGGATAAGGAGGTCTATTGAGAAATGAAAAAGTAAATATCTGATGTCATAGAGCTTTTTGAGACACGTCGTATGGTATATAGAAAATCTTGTTTTCGTAAGACTTTGAAGGTCTTAGAATCAATTTACTGATAGATGACTATACACTGACAAGATGACCGGAGATGCTACATATAGGAGGTTGTAGCCCGTCAAAAAATCTGTGAGAAAAAATACTTTCGACTAATACCAAGGAGCACAATATTCAGAAACTTATCATGCTTGGGTGTGGATATGTAGTTGTCTATCAGTAAATTGATAAAAACAAGATTTACTATATACCATTCGATGCGCCTCACAAAGCTCTACAACATGATATATTTGGTTTTTCATTTCTCAATAGGTCCCCTTATCCGAAAAGATTCTTTAAACGTCATGGCCAGAACTTTTAGTATGCTCTAAGTATTTCTAGAGGATTAAATGAAAAGAATATGTCACCTTTAAATCCTGCAAGAATTGTGCTAACAGCCATGTAAATTATTTGCAAGTATATCGGTATTAAAAATCAAAATTTGAGTATATACTATCTGTAAAGGAGAATTTATTTCACACATGTTAAATTTTTTCGTTGTATCCATTGAAATAAATAATAAAATCATATTTCATTTTTTTTTCTTTAGCAACTATAAAGAAAGGCAAACCTGATTTACGTAAAAAGGTTATGCCTGCCGTCATCATCCGACAACGTAAACCATTTCGTCGAAAGGATGGTACATTTATTTATTTTGAAGATAATGCTGGTGTTATTGTTAATAACAAAGGTGAATTAAAAGGTTCAGCTATAACAGGACCAGTTGCTAAAGAATGTGCTGACTTATGGCCACGTATTGCTGCCAATGCTCAATCTGTGGCTTGAAAAACAAAAAACAAACAAATATATCCATCATATTGAAAACAAAAGAAAAAAAAACAATTTCATATTGTTTATTTGTTATTTTGATTAATAAGATCTTATCGAAATATACAAGCATTGTTTTGTCAAGAAAAAGAAACCTTTTTTTTTTTGTCTCTTAATTTTATTCCAATATCGAAAGTGCGAGAGAGAGAAGCAAATAAAATCGAATGAGAGATTATTTATGGTATGTTTAAATTTATTGAATTGTTTGAGAAGAATTGCTTTTTTTTTTTATTTGAATTTGATCGATGAAGGTAAATTGTAGATGAATATGTTTGATATATTTTAAATATTTATTTATTTCATTTGAATTTTATTCGATGAAGAATATGTAAAAGGTGATTGGATATTTGTTTGCTTGATTTATAACATATTGTTGTTTGATATGAAGATTGAGATGAAAATACAAGTTCGAGATATGATGAATTTTTCAAATGAATATTTAAACAACAATAACTTTCAACGTTACTTCTTTTCTTTCGAGTAAAAATATGAAATGCATTTGATAATCTCTTTCTCTTTCCTTTTTCTTTTTTTTTTTACTGATGATAAGTAAATGAATGTAGATTACTTTGAACTTGTAATGGACAATTTCTATGTCTAAATTAGAGTGCATGTCAATGTTATTATATTTTTAGATTTTATAATATGACGTCATTTATTGATAGTCTTGCAGCTAATGAAAAAACAGCAGTGATTATCGATATTGGATATGCATATACAAAGTGAGTAGACTCTAGAAATTCATTTGAAAGTTTTTATATATAGATTTAATTCGATGTAAAATTTCTTGAGAACAATCCAATCGATAATAAATTAAAAAATTATTATTATTTTTCTGCATGTAAGAAATCACTATTCATTTCAAAATATAATATAGTTGATTGTGACCTGAATAACTCGACAACGCTAGTAGCTATTAGCGTTATCGAGTTATTCAATAAACAACCGAGTCTATTTTTTTTTTGAAATCGATACGAGTTACGTACACATACGTAATTAAAATAAAATAATGATGAAGACAAATGATATTTAATTTAGATGTGGATTTGCTGGTAATGCTGCACCACGTCATATCATTCCGACTAGTGTTACAATGAATGGAAATGTATTTATTATCATATTATTTAATTCGTAATGCTAGTTGATTGTTTTTTTGTTTGTCTATTTAGATACAACATGTTTTTGATGATAATTCAGATCTAACAAATTTACGTGATCGTCTTACTGAATTCATTCGATCAATTTATTATAAGTATGTTAATTGTTTTTTTGTTTCTTTTTTTAATATTAAATAGAAAATTATATTTCTATGATTTAGATATAATATAGCAAATTGTCGAGAACGACGTGTTGTAATTATTGAATCAGTAGTTACACCTACACGTTTTCGACATTTACTAGCTGAAATTCTATTAAAACAATTTGAAGTCTGTTTTTAAATAATTTATTATTTAATATTCTTACAAATATTTCTTTTTTTTTATATATAGGCATCATCTTTAGCATTTGTTCCATCACATCTAGGTGCAACATATACATTAGGTCGAAGTACAGCACTTGTTCTTGATATTGGTTATAAAGAAGCTCAAATTATGCCTGTAGCTGAAGGTGTACCATTAGCAGTTCAATTTGATAGTTTACCATATGCTGGTCAAGCTATTCATAAGTAAGAACTAAAAAAAAGAAATTCTAAATAAAGATACAGACTTTCTAGAAAAGAATATGAATTCATATTGAAATGAACAAAAGAAAGGAGACAGTGTGTGAAATTTATTTCTATGATTAAATGTTCTCAAAAGTTGTATATGAGCCGGCTTATCACAGATATTGTTGATGTACGATCCATGATCATATATTAATAACGTCTTGTTTTCTACTTCCTTATTGCATCTCTGGGGAGGATTAAGTAAAAAGATGTTGAAGTAAGTATATCGAATAAAACAATCTTCATGTGATTATCAATAGCATGTTATATCGAATTTTACATATTAATCTTAATAGCGTTTTTTGTTTTGTTTTAGACAAATCGAATTATTACTTGGACAACATGCTTTTGTCATACATCAAGGACAGAAACAATCATTAAATGAAGCGAATCTCAAACTTTCAGAAGATATTCTCGAAGATATTAAAGGTTTTTAACATATCTACTCATTGAACAAAATAAAAAAATAAATAAACAAGAATTTCAAAATATTTATTTTAGTTCGTTGTTGTTTTATCTCACCATTTACTCGTGCACAGATCTATGCTAAGAATAAATTAGATTCAAATGAAACATTTAAAGAAGCTTCATCAATTAATTATCCATTAGGTCCAGAAACAGTTATTCATATTCCGGGTATTATTAGGTATATTAATTTATATTTCTAATCAAATACAAAAATATTCAAATTTATATAGAGAATTTGCTTGTGAAGTTCTTTTTGAACAAGATATCGATGGAAAATCTATTGCAACATTAATACTTGATAGTTTACTTCAAGTATGAATTATTAATGTGTTATTTATTATGAAAATAATTTCTTTTTTTTTTTTGTCTTTATTGATAATAGTCATCAGTTGATCTTCGTCGACAATTTGCTGATAATATTCTTGTTATTGGTGGTACAGCAATGATGCCTGGATTTTTACATCGACTTAATGCAGAATTAAATTATCTTGTTAATATTTCAACATATGTAAATAAATTAGCTATAAAACAATTTCATTTTCATTCTCCACCAGCTCATTTAAATTATACAGCTTGGTTAGGAGGTAATTGGTATTATTTGAAATGAATTTTTTGTTTTTTTAATTATTTATATTTAGGTTCGATTATTGGTGCTCTTGATACACTTGAATCTCAATCAATTATACGTGAAAAATATTTAGAGAATGGAATTGTACCTGATTGGTTTACAGGTGAACAAGCTGCTTAATCTCATTTATTATTCTTTTTTTTTTAATATTTAATCTAAGGATATTGTTTTTATTTTAAATGGGATCTGTTGACATAAATAAATAAAAAATATGGAAATGGTTGTTTTTATGTTTTAAATATTACAGTTTAATCTTAATAATTGAATATATGTTAATTATATATAATTTATTTCTTTGTCTATATTGACATTGAGTTTTGAAATATTGCAATGATATTCCAATGCGATTGATCTAATGTACTATTTTCATTTAATCATTGTTAATTTGATGTTGAAAAAAAAAATACAGAATCCATTGAAATGAATAGTATTTGTCAGAGTTCAACTCGAGTCACTAAAAACATTTTAAATCGCAGGTCAAGTTCAATTATGCTTGAATCGAATCGGGTCGAGATTTCGAAAAATGATTTATGTGGGACCCTGGTATTTGTATTTACCTTTTATTTTCCTATGTTTATTCAACTTCAAAAAACATGTTTCAGCTTATCCGAATGATTGATTTCTACTTAAAAAAAAAATGAAAATTAAGATGAATGCATGGGAAGAAAGATAGCTTAAATTCTGATCTTTCATAAACGATATGATTTTTTTGTTTGGTATCGCATTTCTTGCCAAAATTTTTAATGATTTCCTTCGTCTTCTGCTTGAAAAATATGTTTTCAGAAAAAGTGAGACTTTGTGAAAAATTCTCAAGCAGAAAATGTTTGTTAAATTTTAGTTTTTGAAGTTCTGTGAATTTGTCTATGAGCTTCTGACTTGGAGAATATATTCCGCACGTTCTAGCAAGTGTGCTTCATACATTTCTTCCGTGTAATCTATTGTGAATCGTTCTACGAAGGAAAAAATTTGAATTTCCAAAGCTCAACTTTGTTTGCCGTTTTTCTCAAAACGAATTTTTTTATGCTAGAAAGCTCAAAAAAGATTTTTAATTGAAGAGAAAATTGTATTCAACAACTTATCAGAGCCGAATTTTTTATTTTTTGAAGAAAAATGGATCTTTTTACATAGGAGTATCTCTATTTGAAAACAAAAGGGCTCTACCATGCTCTCTCCAGCAAATAAAAAAATTAAGTATATAGAACGAAGGTTCATAGAGAATTTCGGGTTGCTCAATGAACTACTTTTAATCCTTGTTTGTTGAATATCTTCTGAAAACATCATGATGTAAGGCTGAACGTTTTCACCGTAACCTCAAATATACCCAGGAAGTTTAATGCAATTTTGAATATACTTGCTCCAAGATCTAAATGTTCAAATGCAGATTATTTCTTTTTTTTTTTCGCTCAATAAAAAACAAATGTTTTTCTTTTGAGAAAATTTGAACAATCAATTTTATCTTTCGTTATAATGTCACGATTAATATATGGAACAAGAGTTTTTATTTCAGTCGTAGGTAATAGGCACTTTTAAGTAACCTATTATTCACGTTAGTGTGACTGTTGCAAAGAAAAAAACAAACAAAATTTTGCAAGAACATATAGTAAAGCAGCGAACAAAAAAAAAAAATAAGGAGATTTTTTTAAATTACAGGTGCTTATATAATACACAAATGAAAGAAAGAAAGAAAGAAAAAACTCATCTCTGATATTTCCAATCAACACAGATTAAAAAAAGAAAAACAAAACTGCACACACACACACATATATATATATTTCATGCCTGATAGTAATAGCCGGTTTTTTTTCTAATGAATATATGAGAAAATCTGTTGCTCAGAAAATAGTTTTAGAGAAAAGAAAAATCATCACGAAGACAAACAACCTGTAATAAAGAGAATGCTGCTAATACATATATGCATCTAGAAACAATAATAAAAAAAAGAAAAAACAAACAAAAATTGACAATGTTCTATACATAGATATTTTTTATTTTTTGTTATCGTAAATATTTGTTCAATTCAATGAAGGCACAATCTGGTATATTGTTCTTATGCATTAACTTGTCACATTCATTTAAATACCCGACAAGTACTTCAAGAGCAGGATGTCGAGGCATATCATGTGCTTCTACAAAATAGTATGATTAAATATGAAAACACAATAACAATAACAAAATAGATCAATTTTTATTTACCAAGAATAGCACTATTGAGTATACTAGATACAGATTCACGCTGAGATGGTTCTAATAGATGAGCAAGTGGTGATGATTTTGGATCTGGATATGCTAATAAACTAAATGCATCCTGAAATAAATCAAAAAGAAAAATACAAACATTTTCTATGTGATGAACAAATTCTCATGAGAAAGAACTATCCCAATTGTAATTCTCATCGTTGGAGCTTATATTAGATTTACAAAAAAGGTTTCGGTAAGATGAGAAAAATCCGAAAATGATTCGTTAACATTGACATTGAGAGCCGAGTTATAACCATTGTTTTGAATTTTCGATGTAGTTATAGATATTTGCGGGAAAATCAAAAATTGTAGAATTTCGATTGGAAATTTTGTCTATAGATAGACCTTACGAACTTTAGAATATATTGAATGTTTCAGCTGAAGAGAATGCTCCATTGTCGAGATATTTAATTGTGACATGTCTATGGCAAACAACAATTTTTTTGGAAATTCAATATCTCAATAAGAGAACGTTGTTTTCAATTGAAACTTTCAGAATATGCTAAAGACCGTTAGACCCATCCTATGGGCTGAATTTTCGGTCGAAATTCCTTAAATTTGATTTTCCGATGAATATCTAAAGCGGAATCGAAAACTTAGTAAAACGATCATAATTCGGCTTCAAGTGTCCACGGGGATGAATCTTTTTAGACTTTCGTAAGCTTAATATAATTTCAAACGATGGATTACTATTGGAGTAGTAGTTTCTCCTCGACAATATAGAGAATAAAAATACGAAATATCGAAAATGATTGGTACTATTGAAATTTAGATTTATTTGGTCTCCAATAAGAATTTTATAATTTAGAAAATGTAATACTTTACTTAGAAATAACCATAAATTCTAAGAACAATAAATAAAATTATGAAATCAAAGAGATATTTTTAGTTTTATTTTATCAAAATGTTTAATAAGTGTGGGTGTGAAAAATAAGCAGCATTCACATCCTTAATGATTATTATCAGAGTTAAGTTTTTATGTAACTGATACTTATATGAAAAAAATCAGCGATACTATAGATTCTATGATTGACTCTTATAGATTCATAATCCTTAATTGACACTAGAGATGCCCATCGCGATCTGCCGCTGCACCGCGCCGCGATTAAAACCAAAAATAACTTCCGCACCGCCGCCATGGACATCTCTGATTGACATTACTGAATGTATTTATTAAATAAAAGAAAGAACTATATCTTTTCTTGTTATACGTAATTTTTTTTTAAAAAATGTACCTGTAATATTTTATCATGTTGTGTATTTTCTCCATATTCATTATTTAATTGTTGTTTAAGTGCATGTAATTCTCTACCAAATTGAAGAATTTTAATAAGAAGTTGATCATCTTTATTTTCTAGATCAAATGAATTTCCTTCAATATCCATTATATGATTTGAATCATTAATACCATCACATTCCATTCTATCGAAAATTTCTGTTGATTTTGTTAAACATCCATTACTGTTTATTATATTTTTATCAATAATTAGATTATTACTATCATCATCATCAAATATTGAATGACCATTAGCAATTTGATTTGTTGTTGTTGTTGTAGTAGTAGAAGAAGAAGAAGAAGAAGAAGAGGATACTGTTCCATGATTGCTAAAACCATTTGTTGTATTATTAGTATGAACATCATCATCTATATCCATAAGATTAGTAACATTATTGTGCGATGGTAATGAAGTTGTTGTATTAACTTCTAAAATATTGAAACAAAAAAAGTTTATTACGAAATTGATTAAATAAAAAATACCTTGTAATAATTCATTATTATTTGCACTTGATCGACGTGATGAAGAATTAATTGTTCCATTACTCTGTTGTTGTTGTACTTCTGAATTCGTTGTTTGATTACGTCCAGATGTATATGGACTATTGGAACGAGAACGTGAAGATGTATTAGATTTATTTATAGGTGATGATGAACGTTCATGTGTTGTTGGGCAAGATGAATTGTTTGTATGATTTAATAATGAAGAATCTGTTATTTGAGAAGATACGGACGGTTTAGGAATTTCGCTTTCAGTTCCATTTATCATTTCAATAAATTGACGAACTTTGAGCACAAATAAAAGATTTTTATTATTGAGCAATGTAGGAAAAAGTTCTTTGGTTTTTTCAATTGCATCTGTTGTATGACCTTCGAGAATTAAATTTTGAATAACTAAAAAAACAAAAACAAAAACAAAGAAATATTTTTAAATTTAATTAAATTTCGTTCTGATATTTACGTTGTCTATTACGCATAGAATTAAGTTCATCAGCATAGACATTTTCAGCATTTTTATTAAATTGTTCAGCTGTAGCACAATAACCATAATGAACAAGATATGTTGAAACAATACGACGTAATTGAATTTGATGTAATAATTCACCTTCTTTTAATGTACATTCTACTATTGCTCGACGAGTTTTTTCTCGATATTCCTATTAGTTTTTTTTTGTAGTTTTTAAATAAAATCTGTTTTAGTTTTTGTTTTTCAAATAGATTAATTTTTACTTACATCCATGTATTTATCTATATCAAATTTAAATGGACTAAGACCAAAATTAGCTTCGATAGCTTCAAGTGGTGTTTGTAATCCGACTGTTGGATAGATTTCTGTCTGAAATACAAAAAACAAAAATACTGGTCAGTACAGATCCTTCGGAGTTAAAATATGAAACTCATATGTATTCTTTAGCCTTATTATACTAATACAAAGTACGCCATATGAAAAGTCTGGGTGACCCGAGTTTTCGACCTCTGACCTCATTGACCCTTAAAATAAAAAAAAACCTAATTTTTTTTTTAAAGTTAGTTGCTAGATATCGTAGCGCTGAGCAGAACATCATAATGAGTGTGGATGTCTGAGTCTTCTCTTCATTGACACTCA